GGAACAGAATTAAGAAACAGCACACAGCCTTCAAAATCTAATTCTAAATGTAAAATTGTGAATCATGAAAAGTGAGAAAGGTAGGAAATTGTAGAGTAATTGACCTGGACTTGTTCTTTGTGGGGCTTTTTAACATCAACCAAGACAAGGAAGAAAACAGAACGACCATCTGTAAGAACAAGGTGACCAGACTATGAGATTCACGCCTCTTCATTTTACCTCTTCGCTTTAATAAATTGCTTTTAATGCAAAGATCACAGCAGAAGACAAAAAAGGAAGAGGCAGAACCTCAGCTTTGGGAGACTGCAAAATACTGACGAATTAAAGACGAAGGGAGCCCCTTCAGAGCCAGTCTTCCCCTGGTATTCTCTGTGAATTATCAGTCTTGACAGGAAATAAAATAGGGCTGTTAGGAAAGCTTTGAAGGCTAAATTAGGAAAAGGAGTGTAAGGATATAAGCATTTCAAGGACTTCACACCTGGCTCAGAGAAATTATATTCCATGACAATTAAAGGGATAGGATGTTACACTTAGTAATTTTTGAGAAAGTTACATGGACTAGAAAATTGCCAGCCAACTGGAAAAGAGAGCATGTCTATTTTCATAAACAAAAATAAGTAATATGTGAAGAGAAAGCTCTGGAAGCACTGGTAATCAAATTTGATTAGGCCAAGACAGTGATTCTCAAACTTTTTGGTTTCAGAAAATCTTAAAAAAAATTGAAAACTCAGAAGATTTTGGTTTGTGCTTTTTAGTTATCAATACTCACTGAATTATGTATTAAAACTCAGTAAATTTTCACATATAAGAATATAAACTGCATGATCTTTTAGGCACCAGCTAACATGCTGTATAGCTTCCGAAAAACTATTGCACACCCAGGAGAGAATGAGAGTGAAGGAGGCGATGATTCCTTAGTGTTATTAGGAAAATGATTTGAATTCTCAGACTCCTTAAAAGAGCTGAAGGACTCCCAGGGATTCCAGGAGACACTTGGAGAGTCTTGTAAGAAAACCTCTCATTACAGTTGCAAAGAGACACAAACACAGATGTTCACAACAGTATCATCTGTCATTGAATATGCAATCTCCTTTACTTGAGAGATGGATAAGTTGTAATAAATATCTATAGAATGTTTCAAAATAAACCCATGTTCCATGCATCAATCTGAATTTAACAATGTTAACTAAAAAATTTAAGTGTTAATTTAAAAAAAGCAAGTTGGAGAATAATACATATATATAGTATGCTATCATTTAATGAAATTTAAATATACCAAATCACGCTACTCAGTATCAGATCTACGAATTCCAGTTGCAAATTAAAAATAAATCTGAAATATATATTAAGATACTGTTCATCTATATTAGTTAGACTCTAGCTAAGTACAAAAACTTCAATATTATCCTCTATTTTGTTTAGTATTTTAAAAATGACCTTTAGGCTGTAATACAAGAAAGGAGTGATCATTGTTCCTTGTCTTAATCCACTTAGATCAGTGACTCTGGAAATGTGTCTGTCATCCAACAGCAGAGTGTAAGAAATTGCTAAAATTGTACCCTCTGGTTCCCACCCCAGAACCACTCAATCAGAATCTGATTGAGGACCTGAGCAGCCCTCCAGGAGATTATGCTAAAGGATCAAATCTGAGATCCAACAGGCAAGAACAAACAAGGTGACCATGCTTCTATTTCAACAGGAACTTTGATGATATTGCCATATTTTTATGAACAAGACGATGTTAGATCTAAAAAGGATTTTCACAGAGATTATATTTTTGATACTTGGAACTAAACCCAGAACCGTGGGTATGCTAAACATGTACTTTACTACTGATCTGGTCTCCAGTTCCTTGCCACATATTTTAAAAGGATTCTCATGGTTGTGTGTTTATGTTGTTTGAATTAACCTACATATTCTTGGTTTGGGCACAAGACCTTAAGCTTTCAACACAAGTCCAAACTAACTTGTGGTTTTCAATCTTTTATTTTGGAAATGTTAGTGTCAGTGCACACTGATGATATCTTATATTGATAAATTATTTTATGACTATTTAAACCAATATCTTCCCAGCCTAGTTTCCAGACGAGGATTATCAGTATGAACTGAAAACTTTAAAAATGCAAATTTTTGAGCTCCATTCAAGTTTCTACCAAGTCAGAAACCTTGATGATGGGGCCCAGCAATCTGGATGTTATCAAAGCCCCCTGGATGATTTTGATCTCTGTATGTTTTGAGCAACACTGTGAGTCTACATGAGAGATTTCAGTCCTGATAATTAATGGGCATGATAGGTAAGCATGAGATTCCAAACAGGCACAGCAGAAATCCTAGCCACAGAGAAGAGTGCTGATTGCAGAAATAGATTTCCCCTGGGCACCAGCCTGCCTGAAACTTGCTAACCAGCACGGAAGGGCCAGCACTGTGTCCCAACAACAGGGATGATTCACTCTCTCACTGCTTGTTTTTATGCCGTGATTTAATTTTTCATTTGCCTTTATACATTTTGAAGGACAATGTGACCAAATTTGAATTCTTGATTCTATTTGACCATAAATAATTTTGGTCAAAATGGCTTTAAATCTGCATAATTCTATCTTCAATATTCAGTCTTGTATGCCAATTCATTCATAATTTTTTTATTTCTAGGATATTCTGACTTTGCAAGTATATTCTAAATGTTTCGTATGTCATATTTAAATAACTTGGAAGATATCTCATGGCACTTTTAAAGGGAGGTGACCATCTAGACTGCATGGCATACTTTGCCACCTTAGATCTCTTAATTCTACTTATTTTAAAGGGATGAGAGAGAAGACAGCATTTTCTTTGACCACCAATATTGTCTGCTATCTGACAGTGGTGCTAGCTGTACTCATTATATTTGGGTAAAAATGGGGTCATTTTAAAGGAATTGAGTTAGAGTACAAAGTACTGGAGGTTTTGGATGTCCTTCAGTTAAATGTATTTGGTTAAGTTCACTCTTCCTGGGGAGATTCAGTGCCTGAGGCCCTGTTTGCAGAAATCCAGGCTGATTCTATACTTGAGATTTGTTTCCTAGTCATCAAACAGTTAGCATCCAAGTGTCTCTGTCTGATTTTATGTAGACTGAACGTCTCTCTATTTGGTACCAGGGGTGAAAGGTTCACTGAACCAGTAAGATAATCATAGGGCTGAGGAGCTCAGCTGTTGGGAAATCATGGTCTAACCTTCAGTGAGACTGGTAAGTTCTGTCAGAAAGGAAAATACAATGAGTAATCCCATCTGGAGATAGAAGAAATGATCTAGAAGGTTCTCCTAAGTTCTGTGTTCAGTGAACATGGAGAATTACCAGTAAGATGGGAACCTCTTTCTTTACTGTCACATAGGACCTAGTAAGATCTGGACAAGTTAAAAATCATGGTGAAATAAATGATACTCAGTCCTTGCCCAATAATAAGCCCACTCTCTAACAACAGAACACATCTAGGTTTTTAGGTAGGGTGTATCTCTAAGATTTTGCCTCCTTCTGGAATGTTTTTATCCAATAATATTGATAATGGTATGCCTGGAGTAAGAAAAAGCTTTAGTTTCACTTGAGAATTTTCTTTTCACCATGGTGATTAATGTAAGTTCTTTCTAATATACTTCTTTTCATATGTTCCCGACTCTTGGCATTTCTGAACTTTATTGTGTCTACATTCTGCATATACAATCATTTTCATGAACATTCCTCCCCCAAACCTATTAGTTACTTATTTGATCATCAGTGCAAGTTTGTTTGTGGAAAAATTATGTTCAATCATAGGATATTGCTTAAGATTAATTAGTAGAGAGTTGTTAATTGGTTAATTCCTTTTAAAGTATCATCAGATACCTGATTATATTGGAAGGTTCTTTTGTCCCCAAAGGTTCATCTTCCTAAATATCCAGTTTTTTGTGTACTTAACATTTTAACTATTCTGAAAAAATTCAAAATCCTATCAGAAAATCAAAGTCACAAGATGCAGGACTGGAAGGTTCTGGACAAAGTATATTTACATGTTTAATATTAGAATAGAATGACCAAAACCATGCATGCCACATGGCACACACCATAATTGTAACTTGGTTAGCTCAGATGACATAAGCATTTCAAATAATTAATCTCCTATGCTTCCTCTTTACATCCTTCACATGCCATTTAAGCACAGTTTATGAAGTGTTCATATTAGCAGAGAATAAGGGATTTATGTAACCTCATTGATATAATTAGCAAGAGAAGACTATGAAGCTTGTGCTTTGTCTGGCTTAGAAATCTTTAAATCGATGTATGGTATATTATGATGATAAACATCAATGATATTTAACTCCCACTGAGAATTTTGGGAAAGTGCCTGTTAGTCTAGAATTTTTATCATCTTGAAAAACAGACAGAAACTGGATTGTCTGAGTTTTCTTTGCAGTAACATTGCATACCTGAAATTGCATGCAAGTAGAAAACAACAATATTTATCTAATGTGATTTTTGATCACAGTCCACTGCCTATAGTAACTTGAGGGGATTGATTTACTTTTCAGAGTAAAGACCTTTATATCATGAAAAGTAGAAATAAAAATTTCCTATTTTTGTGATAGAATTTTTATCTGATTTAAAAATAACTCATATCTGAAAGCCAGGCTTCCTTTTTATGCACTGGAATATACAATATATGGTGATTAGTATAATCACTGAAGAAAAACGGTGGCTAATATGTGGATATTTTGTAGCTTGCCATAAAGATGTACACCGCATAAAATAAAAACATGGTTCTTTATTTGTTCATTGTTATGGTACTGGAGAGTGAACTCAGGACCTTTGCATCGAAATATATCCTCAGACCTTTGAAAATCTTTTTTGAGGCAAGGTCTCACTAAGTCACTAAATTGCCCAGGCTGGGCTTGAACTTGTGATGCTCCAGCTTCAGCATCCCAGAGTGCTGGGATCACAGACAGGGGTCACCACACCTGGCTAAAAGCAAACACTTCCTAACCCGACCTACCTTCATGGGCGCCAGCTGTATGGGTGTGATACATGATGGGTCCACCATGGGCTTCGGCCTGTTGGCCGTGTCTGCTAGCAGGCTGTGCCACTGTTGCGGAAGGCCTGTGAATTTCTGCTCTTGTGGATCGAACCCAGTATGAACCCTGTGTTCAAAGTTGGATGGGCCAGATATTTCAATCTTTTTCTTTTTCTTCCCAAACATGATGAAAAATCCTAGAAAATGTAAGCAGAAAAGAGGTATAGGTTTAGATTTTTGCCAGAAGAAGATCATCCTATTCAAAATTGTTTTCTCCTTGAATACTCCATGTCCAGTGCAATTCCTTGCTACATGGGCTTTGGATTGGGCCATGTGACCTGCTTTGCCCAATGGACTGTGGATAGAAGCCAGTCTCTGGTGGAGGTGTTTGAAGCACTGCGTCTCCACTCTCTTCTCTTGTGCTCCTGTATTTGCCACTGAGCCAAGACAGTTCTTCTTGTCTTGGTCTTAGAGGAAGAGATACGGGACAGACACAAACCCAGTTGCAAGTTAAGGCCAGGCAAACCAAAAAGAACCATTGCTAAGACAGCTGATTCACAAGTGAGAAATAAATGTTATCAGTTAAGTCATTGAGATTTTTTGGACTCATTTGTTATGTGGCATTATCAACACAAAAGTTGACCCATACACAAGGAAAAGCATCTTACTTTCAAAATTAAAATTAAAATTAATTAATTAATTTTGAACAGAATTTTTTTTTTTTTTTTGGTAGTTCATGTTGGTCTCAAACTCAAGATTCTCCTGTCTTGGCTTTAATGGGCTAGGATTAAAAGCATGCATCACACATCTGGTTCAAAATTTGGTATTCACTTAAAATTGAAAACATCAATGTGAAAAAGTAAAATGTACCTATACACAAAAATAGGTTAATAATGACACTTATTATTTATTAGGGGATTAAATAAATAAACATTCATCAAGAAAAGTACCTGGCACAAAATAAATGCTGCAAGCTTTGATTATACTTCTTGCTCTCTCAATTAGATAAAAACTGGGTTGTCCTTGGAAAACAAAGGAGGGAGCCAGGGAATAAGGCAGGGAGGAGGACTCTCTTTTCATTGAATATTACATTTACATTTTGTACAATGTATTTTACTAGGATTTAAATAACACATTTCACCTAAGTAAAATGCATCCAGTGAATGGAATACCTCTAGAACAAATTGTGCTATATGGTACTGAGGATGTGTAAGGTAACCTGGCCTTGACTGCTGGCCACAGCACCTACCAGCTCTGACCTTAGTTAATAGCCTTTTTCTTTCCTAGTCTACTCACCTGTGAATAGGAAAACCATAATCATTATGGAAATCCTTTCATACACTCCGTGGGCTTTATAAAAGAAGAAATTTAATTTAAATGTTGCTTTGCTGGGGAAGCCTTATCTCAGGTTCTATACTAGAACAGGGGGGCTGTTCCTGCATTTATATGTACATATTCTTCAGAGCATTTATCCAACTGTGACTAATCACATGGAACAGTATACTCAGTATCTGTTTTTCCACTAGTGCATAAGATCCGTGAGGGAAAGGATGTTGTCTCTTGCTCATTACTGTTTCTTAATCCACGGCTTATGGTAAGGCTCAAGAAATATGCATTGCCAGACACAATTACTCAGAACACCACACTTACTCAGTAAAGAGCACGCATGGTCAGAGGTTCATGGAACATTAATATCTTCCTTCATTTCATCCTTTCTCCCCTTTCCACTGCCCTTCATCCTCAGTTAAAACTTCTGTTTCTTCTTTTAAACATATATTGATGCTTTTCAGAGAGAGTCTTCACACTTTCTAAAGCTTTCATTCCATCTTTTGCCTGGAAAAACATTCTCTTACTGATGCTCCAATCATTTACAACCTCTTAGAAGACTAGTAAAACACACTGTGGTGTATATCTGGTTGGATCATAGAGGCATGACTGTGGTTACCATACAGAGTCCCTTGCCCCATCCACTCTGTCACTCATCCTCTGCTCTGCTTCCTGGTTGCTATGAAAGCTCATCTTTACTACAAGATGCCCTTACTCCATATTTCTGCCTTAAAGTAAGATGACCATGAACTAAATCTGCTCAAACTGTGAACCAAATCAAATGTGTCCTTTTTTATATGTGGGTGTCAGGTATTGTATTGCATCTATTAGAAGGCTGAGTAATACAAATACTTTGTTACAAGTAGGTAAAAAAATGTAAGTGGGATAATCTTATAACTTTGGCACACTTACACCCAAGTGTAAAGGAGTAAAAGCACCCAGATGAGGTAGTCCACTGCAGAAATAGCCCACAATGTCTATGCCCATAGAGCAGTCTCTCTGACACTGACTCCAGGCTTCAATATGTAATTTTCTTACTTAGTGGGATAAGAGAAAACAACATGAGCATAAAATATGCTTACACAAGGGGGCTTACTTTCTTGCTCTCTCAAAACCTATAGGCCATATGACAACAGGACCAAATTATCCTGCTGGAGGACAAAAGGCCACATAGTTTGGTCACTTATTGCCTAACCATAAAACAAACCAGAGCCCAGAACCAGAGCTTGCTGGCTGACCTAAAGCTGGTCATAAAAACAGGCATGTTCAAAAGCAGGTGAACTACCAAGCGGAACTGCATCCATGGTTTACAGAATAAGGATGCAAATGAATGGTTTCTCCCTTAAAGTATTATGTTTTGAAGTAGATTATGGAATAAAAAAGTTATTAGCAAACACATGATTATCATCCACTTTGCATTCACAGAGGTTCCTTGGTTTTCTCTTTTCATTTCAGCAGCTCCAATGTTCTGAGTTACAATGTTCAAACTGAGTAGCTATATTAGCTATCACACAATTGCCTTAACTCAAAGGGATCTTGATTGTGATACTACTATTCTGTTGGTTGAAGACCTTGTACATTTTCAGTAGGGGAAATTGCACTAAATTAGTGGCTCTATATACTGTCTCTTGGTTTGATTTCATGAAATGAAATTCATCCCCAAATATAATTTGAACATTTGTTGACTAAGTCTCTTTGACATTTTAATAGACTTGAACTATAACCAAGTTTTAAAGAAAGATGAAAATTATTTCAGAAAAACCACTAGAGTCCTTTTGCATATATTCATACCCAAATAATCTCCAAATGGTAGACCAAATATTTTTAGAATCAGTATAGAAATGTATTGCTATTCTCTTCTTGATTATAAATTTCCCAGTGGTTTCTGTGCTAGTCAAATGAGAACTTATAAAGGAAAATGTCAGTGAACCAACACTCTTCTTACTTTTAAATAAGGAACTTGTGGGGAAGAAATCCACAACTGAAAATTAATCTACCTATACAGCATCCTGTGATACTATACAGCTATAATTTAGGTGGTAATAACTACATTTCTAAATTCCCAGTAAGCTTGAGTTAAGGAGTTACAAAGGAATCAATTTAAAAGAAAAATAGAAAAAAAAGCAGCTTTAAAGCAACATTCCTGTGAAACTTATACTTTAAGAATTCAGAGACAGAATCTCCAGGACAAACAGTGATATTTCATCAGTAGCAGCTACTACTGTATTAGTAATGGAGGAGTCTGTACCTGCACTCAGGCAAAAGATAGAGACAGGGTCCCAGAGCCCTTTGATACCAGAGAGTAGAGGGGCACTTAGAATGGAAGTAGACATATGCTTGGTGTATGACATTTTTCTGAGGCCCATGCCTACTTACTGTGTACCTAGCAGTGTATTAAATGTTCAATGTATTTGATCCTATATTTACATAATCCTATGTTGAGTTTCCCAAGGTCACTTCCTATTTTGATTATTTGCTAAGAGGACTCACAGACTTAGTACACAGTCATTTTCATAGTTGTGATTTATTACAATGAAAAGCCCGAGAAACAAAATCAGTAGAGAAAAAAGGTGCACTGGGTGAAGATCAGAGGAAATCAGGCACTAGTTTTCATGGGTCCTTCGCTGTGGACTCACATAGAACTTGAGTTCTATGATATAGCATAATAGTCTACTGTGACCAGACATGTGAAATGAATTCAATCAGAAACACCAGTGATGCAATGTCTGAAGATTTTATACAGTATGGGTCAGGTAGGTGCCCTCTGCCAGATCTGTATTTTGGGTTTCAGACTCTTGAAGGAAAGTAGGTTTCAGCAAGAATCATTGTACTTGCGTAAAAAGTTTAGGTATCATAAGCATGAGCCACTCTTACGAGGGAATGGTGGAGACCTTTCTAACATCTACATTCTCAGAGGCTAAACAAGAGCCAACTTTATATGTTGGCTTTAAAAAAATACATCAGGAGTTAAGGTTTAGATCTGGAGTGTCTCCTAAAATTCTGACATATGTGGAAGGTATTTGAATCCTGGAGTCTCTATTCTCATGGTGAATTTATCTAGTAGGGAGTCCAGCAGCTAACTTGCTTTAAGAAGTAGAGTTTGGTTGGAGGATGCAAGTCCCTGGGGATGTGACCCAGGAATATCTATCTCCATGTAGGCTCCCTGCTTCTCTTATTTAGCTTCCTGGTTACCCAGATGTGAGTAGTTTTCCTCTGCCAGGCCAAGCCCTTCCACTATGTTCTTCCTGCCTTGGAGGTGATGACAATGGGGTGAAAAACGTGAAAATAAACCTCTCCTTTCTTAGAGTTGCAGGTGTTAGGCATTTTATTCAGCAATAGAGAAAATGTCTAAGACTTGGGCTTGCTGTAGCAATTCTTTTCCGCATAGGAGGTATTATAACCTATCTTACAGAAGAAGAAATTGATGCTGAGAGCCCAGATGAGAAAGGTAGCTGAAATAGAGATTCAAAGCCTCAAAGCACTTGATTTTAATCACTGAGTATTGTATTACTGCCATGCACTCCTTGGGGAACCCTGTGGATGTGGATGTTGTTCTAATAAAGATAGCTGAGATTCTGGAAGTTTCTCAGGTTCTTTCAAGTCTCTCTAGAAAGGACTTTCTGTGACAAATTCTGTCATAGCCTAGGTAGGAGTAGAAACACTGTTCAAGCTGCAGGGGTACTGGACTGGATGTTACAGTGAATGAAAGATACTTTTGGTGAAGCATTTGTGGAGCCCACAATATGCGATTATTGCCCCTGACTTCCGGCAGACCTACTTCCAGAACCTTAGGTAGGTGCAGCTCAATGTAGATTACTTGCCATAGGTTTCAAATGAGGTATTTTAAAGATCGGTATCAACAACTTCCTTA